GGAGAGGCTGGTCGGCCTTGCAACCATCTCAATAGAGCAGGAGCTGGCCCAGACTGTGGACCTTCAGGAAGCAGTTCAAATCTTGGCAACCAAGAAGGCACGGAAAGCACCACTTTGATTATTCAAACAGATAAAAACGCCAGTGTTTACTATGCAGACAAGAAAAGTTACATTTACTGTTCAGGGGTTTGAAAGTTAAATGTTACTTAAAATTTTTGAACAAGGCATTTAAAGTTATTAGTTCTCCTTTCTTGCGGTAGGTAGCAGAGCAGGACCATGAGAGGAGTAGAACAGGAAGGAGGCAGAATTGAGGCCTTTCAAAGTTTTGGCTCAAGCGAGAGGGCATGGGGGCGTCATTTGAGCTCCCCGCCTCAGGTGCCAAAATGTTGTGGGCTGGCCCTGGGAACGGGTTTCAAATGTAGGATTTTTTTTTTTTTTTTTTTTTTTTTTGGCAAAACCTGGGCCAGGCTCAAGCTCTGGGTTTTGTGTCACGCACCATAGTACCGTAATACTCCTAATAATGGGCAGCACCTGGCACCATGGCATTCTGGGCCATGCTGGAGAGGCCTTCCTAGCACTACCATAATACACCTAATAATGTACCGTGCATAACACCATGGGGTCCTGGGCCATGTCAGGGGCTCCTAGGCAGTGCTGTAATGCACCAAATAACAGTGCCTGGAACCATGATACCAGCATGCACCGAAGAATGGATAGTGCCTGGTACCATGATACCGTAATACACCTAATAATAGCCCATGCACAACACCATCAGGTCCTGGGTCATGCCAGAGGGGCCCCTCACCCCTTCCTACCACTACCGTAATACACCTAATAATGGACCATACATAATATTATAGGGTCCTGGGCCACACCAGGGGCTCCTAGTCACTACCGTAATACATTTAATAATGTACAGCACCTGGCACCATGCAGTCCTGGGCCATGCCAGGGGTCCCTAGGGACTACCATAAAACACCTAATAATGTACAGCGCACAACACCATGGGGTTCTGGGCCATGCCAGGAGCTCTTAGGCACTACTGTAATGCACCTAATAATGGACAGTGCCTGGTACCATGATATCGTAATACACCTAATAATGGACCGTGCATAACACCATGGGGTCCTGGGCCATGCCAGAGGGGCCTCTCTCCCTTTCCTACCACTACCATAATACACCTAATAATGGAGCATGCATAATGCCATGGGGTCCTGGGCCACACCAGGTGCTCCTAGGCATTACCGTAATACACATAATAATGAACAACACCTGGCACCACGGAGTCCTGGGCCATGCCAGGGGTCCCTAGGTAGTACCATAAAACACCTAATAATGTACAGTGCACAACGCCTTGGGGGGTTGGTTCATGTCCCCCACTCTATGCCCGTTCTGTGGAGAGCTGAGGCTGTGTCTGAGGCAGGTCCCACCTTCAGTGCCGGCACGCAGACCCCTGCTGTGTCAGCCAAGCTGGCGGCAGGTTCACCCACCCAGGATCATCCACAGCCTGAAAACCCAACCTTGTGGGGGACGGCTTTCCAGGCTGCTGAGCTGCTGTGGTGTCAGCCGGCCCTGCAGCCGGGGCTGCCCGGGGCCAGCGGTGAGGTTAGCCCTGTGGGTAGGTCCTTCCATAGCCGTGGGCCCGGCCAGTGTTGACGGGACCTGTCCAGTGAGTGCAGCCGGGACCCCAGGAGAATCTCTGCTCCTGCCTGTGGAGCCCAACGCAGCGCCAGAGCTGGGACTGGAGGGGCGGCTTCACCCAGGGCCGTTGCTCATGGACGGAGCCAGGCAGGCCCACGACCCAAACCCCATGGTCCTCACGAGGGGCTCGTGCTGCATTCGAGTCCCACCCCAAGCAGGTGACGGCTCAGTCACTGGCAGGGCTCACTGCTGTGTGGCTCCCGCCTTCCTCCATCGGCCTCACACCGGCGGCTGGTCCTTCCTGCGATCCGTCAGCTCGGTGGGGAGAGGAGACGGTGGTGTCCAGCTGACAGCTCCGCTCTAGCCCAGCGGAGTCACAGGCTCTCTGCTCTGTGCCGGGCAGGCCGGCCGACTGGCGGAGCAGACTGGCCCCGTCTGCCCATCCCAAGAGGAGAAGAGACGGTGCTGCATGACGAGCCCCTCACCTGCATTAGGCCCCGTCCGACACGCCCGGGAGCCCATTGAGAGTCTCTGAGCAGCTGGTGCCTTCTGTCACGACCGCTCAGCGCCAGCGACCAACAGCCTGGGGAGTTTCTACTCGCCTTTGTCCTTCGCCGGTCGGACCCCAGAGCCTGGCTGACGTCCAGCAGGCGCCGGTTGCTCCCCACATTGGCAGTGTGCGGTGTGGGGAAGGGACAAGCGGAGCGGCCAGGGAGGTTGCTGTGAAACTCAGCAATTCCTCCAGGGACGAGTTTGGGGGAAGGGAATTCTCTTCATGGTGTTGGGCGGGTCAGCCAGGCGCAGACCCAGTTCGCTCACCCCGCCAGCCGCTGGGACGGCATCGAACTTGACAACCGGCCTGGAGTGGGTCAAACGGTGGCCAGGTACGTGCCGCTCGTCGAAGGCACAGGCAAGTTTCCCCAGCGATGAGAAGGGTCAAAGCGGCCCCTTCAGAATCTGCTTGTGGTCGGGTTGTCCAGAAGGTGGGTTCTCGGCCGGTGGCCCTGTGCCCCGCGGGCTCTCTCCCAGACAAGGGGCAGTCTTGGTGCTTGGAGATGCCGTTCTTAAACCCAGGCCGCTGGGCAGTCTTTGTCCGGGGGAGAGACCCCCAGGAGAACCCAGGTAATGGTAAGGACACTGAGACTAACAACTCTGCTCACACCGAAACACGACAAACCACAGCATGGAGATCACCGGGGGCCCGAAGCATGCGACCCCGGCCGCGCGGCGGTGAGACAGGAGTGACCCCCCCACCAGACCCTCACTTCCGGCCCCTGCTCGCATGCAATCGCTGAGCTTGGGCGCAGGCTGCACCGCACAGAGGAAAGGGCGGCTGTGGCCGCTGGCTGGGAGGCGGGAGAAAGAGAGGTCGGGGGGGGGGGGGGGTTAGTTGGGGATGTGGTGCAGTTAGTTTCTCTAGCTGTCGCTCAGCCCCCAGAACCCCCTCCCAATAACAAAGGGAGGCCGAGCGTTACTGCTCTTGGTGAGCACGGGCCCTCCCGGCCAGCCCCACACCCGCCCCACATTAACACAGTGCCCGTCCCATCCCCCATGCTCTGCCCCCAATATAAACGAGAACGCCCGGATTGGCTTGCCACACCCACACCCCATCCCCATGGGTCATGTGCCATCTTATACTCCACCCCTGTGAGGCCCATGCCCCAGCCCCACAGGGCACGTGCCCCCGCACCCCAGCCCCACAGGGCACATGCCCCCATGCCCATCCTGTGCCGGATTCTCCCACCTGCTTGTTGCCTGGTTACTTTCACGCCAAGTGGGCTTTGCCCCTTCCCAGGGCAGTTCTCCTCCGCACTCTGCACATCATGGCCAGTCACCCGGCCCCACAGTGCCCCTCACCTTCCACCGGGCAGACTCCTGCATGCTGGTGTGAGCCCCACCCAGCCACGCCCGGGGCCCTCGGCTAGAGAGAAGCCATGGGCAAAGCCGGCAGTGCTGGCACCATGGAGCTGGGGTGTCGTCACCCGTTTGCTCCTCTAGCGCCTCCAGCTGCCCTGTGAGCAAACCAGCCAACTCTCCTGCCCCTGACTGTCCATCACACCCACCTGCCCCGTGCCCTTGCTGCCCCCCCCCCTTCCCCCACCGCCCCCCCCCCCCTGCCCCCCCATCAATCGCACCCCTCCTGCCCCGGCCCCTGCCTCACCCTGACCTACTCCTGCCCCACCTGCCGAGTGTGTCCTGGCCTCTTGACACTGCCCTGCCAGGGCACATGTCCAGCCCCGTCCCACACAGCTAGCGGCCCAGCTGGGATCCAGGCTGAGCCCCCTGCCCAAGACCTCGGTGGTGCCAGGGTCTTCCCCAACCGCCATTTTAACTGGCCTGTGGTGCGCGCCCCACATGGGTACACCCCCTGGCACTCCCACAGCCCACGGGCACAACCAGCCATGGCAGCAAACGGGACAAGGCCGGGCTCACCAACATGCCGAGGGGCTGTAAGCCCGGCCGGCTCCACAGAGCAGAGCTCAGGTGCTGACAAGGGGGCGAGCCCACTGCTGGCCCCTTGAACACCCCAGACCAAGCCTTCACCCCTACCTGTGACTCAGCCCGGACTGTCCAGCCAACCCCTCTCTGGGAGAGGGGCCAATCCAACACCCCGGGGGGGAAGCAATGGCAAAGGGCTGAGCTGGGATGGGGGGCACCTGCTCATTGAACATGGCCGGGGCGAGGAGGAGGGGACCCTACCCAGCCAGGAGCCCACGCCCCTGGCAGATGCAGCAGGCACTTGGAAGGGCGGCTTGGCCCCTCGCTCTTGAGGGAATCCAGCCCTGCGGTGGTACTGACATCCCTCAGAGCCCGGTGGCTGCAGCTCTGCTCACACCTTCGAGCTGGAGACAGGACTAGAGAAACCCCCGTTCGCTTTCCTCTCCCCTATGGGGAATCCGATAAAGTGCTGGGCGGCGGTGGGCTTCGCTGGAGACCACCGCTCCCCTGGGACTGGGTTGCTGGGATGCTGGAGATTGACCCTGCCACACTCAGCTCTCCACTTAGGGCTTCCCTGCCCATCCCTCTGGAAATTCAGGGTCCAGCACTAGCCGAGAGAGAGGCCTTGGTGTGTCACCCCCGCGCCAGGCCTCCAAGCTCCGCCACCCCGGGACCGTCCCTGAGCGGATCCAGGCACAGCCGCACCCTTGGCGAGGGGGTCTGGGGTGTGGGTGCATCTCACAAGCTCTAGGCCTGGCAAGAATTCAGCATATCTCCACGACACTCCCTTCTCCCCCCCGGTCGGCGGTGTGTGGGGCAACCCAGCCGTTGGCTAGCGGGGGACGGGGTGGGGATCCAGGCCCAGCAAAGCCACGGCTCCAGCAACCAAACCCACCAAAGAAGAAACGAACGAGGCATCCGAAGAATAGTAATGTCATCGTCATCAGAACAATCCACAAGCACAACTAGAAGGGGAAGATCCGGGGAAGCCCGAGCGCTCGGGAGCAGAGTCCGCTGTCGAGGAACGGTTCGAAAAACAGGTCACAGATGTCCAAGCGCAAACACAACCACGGGACACGACCACGGGGAAGGTCCATGCTTCGACAGAGAATGCAAGTCGTCTCGGCGGAGCGCTGCTCAGTGCGGGGGCAGGCAGCGCGGGGGGCGGGCGGCGCGGGGCTTTGGAAGGAAGGTTTGTATCAGAGTCGGAACAGTTTCATCGCAACACCTGCTCACCTGGCTGGATGGACATGGGGGGGCAGGGAGGGGGACGGCTGGGTCTGGAGAGGTCACGGCCGGGCTGGGCTCGGGGTGGGGTTGGTTTTTTTTTTGTTGTTGTTGGTTTTTTTTTTGTTGTTGGTATTTTTCTGCAAACACAGGCACTGGAAACGGGCAGGGGGAGGGGGGACACGTGCATGCGGGCGCGTGCTTGGCACCGCTGCTCCCGGCTAGCGGCTCAGCTCAAATCACCATCTCCTTCGGGATGAAACCAAAACAGCCAGCGGTAGCTCTGCAAGACACAAACACACACATGCCGTGGGCCGGGCCCGCGCCAGGACAGCCACTGGTGGAGACGCGGCAGGAGGCCACAGGAGTTCAGCCACACCGGCACTTCTGGCCGCAGAGCTGCGTCTACACCAGGGTTTTGCTGGCATAGCAGGAGGGGCGTTTGGTCACTGTCCTAGCTAGGAGAGCTTTGTAGCGTAGACCGGGCCTGTGACCGGCTGCTCCTGCTGGGGGCTTCCACCAGAACCAGACCTGCTGACCCACCCCGTCGAAGGTCCCTCCTCGTGGGCACAGCCCTGTACGCAGAGGGATCCCTGCCAGCCTGAAGCAGGGCTGGGTCAGCAGGGGCTGGTTCTGGTCTCACGTTCCCCGGAGCAGCACTATCGGCGGGGTGTGTGTGTTAAACACGGGTTAGGTTGGGGGGGGCTCTGGTTCTGATCCCACCTTCTCCAGAGCAGCACTGTGGAGAGGGGAGGCCGGGTTGGGTCAGGGAGGTTCTGGTTCTGGTCTCACCGGCCCTGGATCAGCCCCGGTGGGGGAGCGGGTGGGGGCCGCTCGGGCTCTGGTCTCACCTTCACTGCAGCGGTGCCACGGGCGCCCCCGAGCAGTGGAAGTGGACGTTCTGCCACTTGCCGTCGCGGCGGTGCCAGACGCGGGTCTCCTCGGACTGGCTGGTGCGGGGACGGCCCTGCCCGTCGATGTACTGCGTCAGGCGGATGTAGGCGATGCAGGCGGCGTCCTCCCCGATCACGTGCACGTGGGGGTTCAGGATGGTCGTGTGGATGGGCTTGTTGTTTTTGGATAACACTGGGGAGGCAGAGAGCCGCTGTGAGCTGGGGGCAGCCTGCAGCCCAGAGCCAGGGGGATGGGCCCAAGGGACCAGCAGTGAGCCCAGGGCACGCGGCAACAGCCTGGGAGACGGTCTTGCAGGGAGGGGGCAGGTCTTGGGGGCAGGGCTGTGGTGAGGCCCATTGGGTCAGAGCCAGGGGGTGAGGGGTCTTGGATACGTCTTGCTCTGAGCATCAAATCAAGGGCCAGGGCCCAGCCAGAAGGACCCTGGGTGCTGAGCTGGGTTGGGCCGGCAGGACCCCTGGGCGCCAAGCCAGGCCGGCCAGCAGAACCTCTGAGCGCCAAGCTGGGCCAGATGGCAGGGCCCCAAGTCCTGTGCTGTGCCGGCCAATACGACCATTGGGCACCGCGCTGGGCCGACTGCCAGGAACCCCAGGCACTGAGCCAAGTCCGGCCAGCAGGATCGCCAGAACCCTGCGCTGGGCTGGCCAATATGACCCCCGGGCACTGAGCAGGGTCAGTGTGAGCCTGGAGTCTGAGCTGGGCCGGCTGGCAGGACCCCTGGGTGCCGAGCCAGGCCAGTCTTTGGGGTGCCCAGCCCCGCCCTGGCAGCAGGTGCCCTCACTCACAGTTTTCGAAATAGAATCTGTGGAAGTCCATCCCCTCGACCAGGTTGCCCAGGGCTTCGGGTTCGAATGACGTCAGGCCTGGGTCGCAGATCTTCCTAGAAGGGAAGAGCAGGCCGATGAGCGACAAGGCAGGGCGCTTGGCAGCGCCTCAGCCCCACCCAGAGAGAACCCACTGCCCCGCGGCCTGCACCGCCAGCCGCCTCTGCCGAGACACCCATGCCGGCCTGGCAGGAGGCTGCCTCGGTGCCCGTCTCCCCACCCAGCGGGCAGGGCCCCTCTGCCCCCGCCTGGGCTTGGGTTCCCCGAGGGCCAGCCTTGGCTCGCGGCATGGCATGTGGGGAGGGGGGTGCCCACAGCCAAGGCCGGCCCGTGGGGAACCCAAGCCCAGGCCGCCCGCAGAGCCCCGCGTCCAGCAGCGCTCTGCCCTGGGGACTCACGCGTAGGCCTCGAAGTCCCCGTTGTTCACGGCCTCAATCAGCTGCTCGGTGATCTTGATGATTTCCTGCTTGCGGGCTGCAGGGCGGAGAGCGGGGGGTGTCAGCAGGGGGTGGGCACTGGGGGGAGCCCCTGGACTCCAGGGCCAGACCTGGCAGTTACCCATGGGCGGCCGGGTTCACCACGACCCACAGTTTGCCCAGCCCAAGAGCCGCCCCCTTCTGCCCCGGCTGAGGCACTGTGTGTGGGGGGGGCACAAATTGGGGAAGCCTGTTCTGGCACTGCCTGGTGGGCACCCCCAGGGCTTCTGCCTCCAGGGCCGACAACCGGGCACCCTGAAAAACCAGTCAGCTCTAGCCCCTTCCTCACACCCTCCAGGCCCAGCCCCATAGCCCTCCCGTGCCCCGGGCCCACAGCTCCCCTGTGCCCCAGATCCACCCAGGTCCAGAAACCTCCCGTGCCCCATTCCCAGCCCAGTAACCCTCTGGTGTCCCTTGCCCAGCCTTGCCACATAACCCTCCTGCAGCCCGTGCTCCAGGCCTGGGGGGAGGAAGGGGGCCTGGGAGATGCCCAGGTGACCCATTTAGCTCAGTGCCCATGCATTATGCAGCGGAGCCGCGGCTCAGCTCCCTGCCATGGGAGCAGCGCTCGGAAACTTCTGGCCTGCCCTGCGGCATCCATTTCCTGCCCCCTGGCCCCGTGGGGCTGGTGGCCCTGCCCTGCCATGCTGGTGCAGAGCGGAGCTGAGCCTCTCCAGGGGGCCCGGGTCAGGGTCAGGGCGTCCTATCCTGCTCCCTGTCACAGCGGGGCGAGCGAGGGGTGATGCAGGCCCCGAGACACTTCAATCCAGTGTGGTGGTGGGGGGTCTAACCCCTCTCTAGCCAGCACCCCCAGCCTCGAAGCTGCTGGGGGCCTGGAGCCTGCCCCAGAGGGGCTCTTCTCGCCAGGCACCCCAGTTCCCCTTTCTCTCGCTGTCTGGCCACGGTCCCTGCTCGCCCACAGAACAGCCCCTGCAAGGCGTGCCGCGGGGGGACCCCCCCCTCCCTGCCCAGCACAGCTGGGGGAAGGGCTCCAACGGGGGGAGGGGCGAATGCCAAGGCAGAGAGTGCCCCACCTGCAGCTGGTTGCATCAGTGGCCAGCACCAGACGGTTCAGCAGAAGCCAACAGTGGCAGATGGGGGCTAATCCGCCTCCCACATAAGTCTCCCTCCATCCCTGCCTGAGGCTGGTTTTAGCTCCAAAGCACAAGGTTTGCTAGCCCGCCCCAAATGTGCTGCTGCTAACGTGGGAGGTTCTTGTTATCCACACAACCGTCCAATCCCTTTGGCCTCACCTGCGTCCAGTGGCAGGGGATTCCACCGACTAACGGTGTGAAAAAGCATCGCCCTTTATCGGTTCTGAATTTCAGTGTCCCTGAATGGCGCCTTGTGTTTTGAGACAGGAGAACAAACGCTTCCCCTGCTCCAGCTCAGCCATTGTTTCCTATGCTTTTATCCTGTCCTCCCTTATTTGTCGCCAGTCTTTTCAATCGCTCGTCCCAGGAGTGTTAGTCCAGGCCCTTGTTCCTTCCCATTGCGCACTGAGATGGGGGGGCCTGGTCCTGTCCACTGGAGCCAGATGGGGCCACCCCACTGATTTCTAGAATGGCTTGGTAGTCTTGTTTGGCAGTGTTTAAGAAAGCCCCTGGACGCCATACGGCCCGGTGGAGCCAGGCTGCGTGTGAATAGCATCCAGGGGCTGGGGGGCTGCCCAGTGTCTCTGGGCGGGGCTGCGTGGGGAACTGACGGTTATTAGTTACTAGTCATGTTATTGGAGCCCCAGGCCAGGTACCCAGCTCAGGCTGACAACACTGCTGTGGGTAGACCAGGACAGCTCCCCACACGGACACACTGACCCCAGGGCTGGACCCTCAGGCCAGCCGCTGTCTGCGGGCTTCTCCTGGCTCCCTTGGCCAGTGGAATGGGGAAGCTGGCTCCACTGGAGAGGGGCAGGGTGAGCGAGGCCTGGCCCAGCCCCACAGGAACATCCAGCAGGGACTTCACCCTCCCCCTGGGCCAGAGGGACCTTCCCGGGGGCAAGCCCCTCCTCCCTCCTTTGTCCAACAGACTCCCACCCCCCCAGAGCCTGCACCCATCCTTCTCGCCTGGGTTGGCCGGGCCCTCCATGCGACTGCCCCACTGCTGAATTCCCCAGTCCCTCCTCACTCCCAGCCTATGGGGCTGCCCCCACAGGCCCCGGACTCTGCTGCTCACTCCCTCCCCCGGACCCAGGTGCTACATGCCGTGCTCTCCTGGCCATCCCCCAGACCCGCTCGCTCTCCATCCCTGCCCCTGCTCTGGCACCGGCCCCTTCCACAGCATGGGTGCAAGAGCCTTCTCCCCTGCAGCCTCCCTGCATCACTGCCCTCATTTCCAACAGCACCTTTGTTCCTCCCGCACCCAGCCCCCGCACTACAGCCCCCTCCCGCTCTGCGCCGCCTCCGGGCCCAACTGGACACCAGGGTCCCAGCCCAGGGCCTTGATGCTTCCAAGGGGTCGAGCTCCTGCGGTGTAACCCCAGCTCCTCTCTCTGCTTCACACCACGCAGACGAGAGCCGAACTAGGCCCCCCGAACGGCGCCAGGCTGTGGCCGTATCAGAACATCAGCCCTGCCCTGTGGGAGGGACCTCGCGCCCTGGGCCCCGGGGTGAACAGCTCACACCCTCTTGGGATCAGCCAGCCAGCACCAGTCCTGCCACAACCCCTTCTGTGCCCCGCTCCCCTGCCCCGGGTCTGCCCCCCACCCTGAGTTAGTTAAATTCCCGCCCCTCCACAATAGTTCCGGCTAATCGGCCTTGGCACCCAGCACAGCCTTCAGGGGAAGGGTCTGTCCCCACCCCAGCCAGCTCCAGAGACTCCCCAAATCCTTCCCCGGTCCCAGCCAAACCAGCCCTTACCTGTGAGCCTGCTGGTCATGCCTGCGTCACACAGTGCTTCTCCCTGCTCAGCTCCCCACCCCTGGCTCGGCAGCTCCCATTCCCCGGGCCTGCCCCTGGCTGCGAGCTGTCAGCCAGCCCTGTAAACCATCCGCGCCGGGACTCCCAGCGCCCGGGACACCTGACGCTACAGTGCCTAGGCAGGAGCCCAGCGCTCAGACAACTGTGAACCGTCGGCACCTGAACAGAGCAAAACGCCCCTCCCGCCAGCATACGTCTGTGCCAACACCCCTCAGTCCTGACCCGCAGCCCCTGCTAGCCCAGCCCTGGGCTCATCGCCAGCTCTGCCGATGTCCCTCACTCCTGACTCACAGCCCCCGCCGCTGTCCCAGCCCTGGGCTCCCCCCCAGCTCTGCCGATGCCCCTCAGTCCTGACCCAGCAGCCCTCTCTGATATCCTCGCTCCGCCCCCCCCCGACTCTGCCAATGGCCCTCCATGCTGCTGTGCCAGCCCACATGGGCATTGCAGATGGGTTTGGGCTCCGTGCCAGGAGAGCACCCGCTGAGACCCAGCCCCGGGGTGGCTGCCAGGGCAGATTTCAGGGCTAGAGGCAGATCCAAGCTGGGTGACTGAGGCCAAGCGGCAGCCCCTCGTCCCCGAGCCCCGTTACTTACGCAGGGGAGGCAGAGGGTTCGTGACGGCTGGAGATGGGCAGGGCTGGCTGACGGCAGTGTCCGGGGGCCCGGAGCCCCTCCTCACAGTGTTGAAAAGGTCCGAGAACCTGGCGGCTGGGCCGGGATGGCCGAGAGACGGGTGAGACGATGCATGGAATGGAAAAGTGACACAGCGAGGTGCACAGGGAAGGGATTCAACTGGCCTGGGACGCATGCCCTCCCCGCTGGAGACCTCGGGCGGGGGGGCTCTCCCCAGCACCTTCCTGCTGAGGAGCCGAAAAGGGGCGAGCGCTGGTTGTTTTTTTACATTCAAAATCCAGCTCTCCGGAGCGCAGAACACGCAGGCCTGGGAGCGAGGTGCCAGGGAGGGGTTCGGGAAACGGGGGGCTGGTGAAATCCCCCCACTGTTGTTTATTGCCCTAGTAATGCACGGGGGAGCGCATGTTCCTGGCCCCCCCTCGGTGCCCGACCTGAAGGGATGAGTTTGTTCCAGCCCCAGCTTGTGTTTTAGCTCTGGAGGGCCCCTGTGCTGGACACAAATGGCCCTTCCTTGGTGGGAGATGCGGCCCTGAGACCTCCACATACCCCCCAAAGAGATTCCCCACCGAGTTAGGGACGAGCCTGCTTCTAAAGGCAAAAACCAGCGGGAGAAACCTTGACAAGCAAAACCCACCTGCCCTGCTGGCTGTTGGCACCATGCGGGAAAGGAGCGAGGGGCACCTGCCGTGCCCCCCTCACCCCCTTCTGGGGAGCGCAGCAGCCTGCACTCGGCTTTGCTCCGTGTGCAGGGCTCATGGCGCAGCATTGCCAGGCGGGCACTGTGGAGCTCAGCTCTGCAGCGGGCATGGGGCGGGCACACTGTTCCCTTTTATCCCAGCGAAGGATGATCGAGTCCAGCTCCTGGTCTGGGCACCATTGGGCAGCAGTGAAATGGGGCTGGTGGGTGCCTACGTTGGGACCTAACCAGCCCTACCTTGGCGAGGGACTGCGGTGGTCATAACCACCCCGAAAGGGGCCTGGTTCCTTTCAAGCCAAAGGAGACAGAGCATGTCTAGAGGCCTCTGCTTTGGCCAGGAAGAGGGCCAGTGAAGGGTCCCATTGGTAGCCCAATCCCGGCGGGCAGGCGTGACTAGAACCCGGGGCCGTCTGACGAGGGGAGGGTTGCCCAGGCTGAGAGCGGTGGCAAGGCCCGGGGGGGCAAGGTCCCTGGCTGGCTTCCCCGGGACGGCAGGCTCAAGGCTGAGGCGAAGGGGGTCTGTATGAGGGGAGTCCTCACAAGCCGTGTCCAGCTCGGCCTCCACCCACAGAGCACAAAACAAACGCCCAGCGCTCAGACCAGGAGCCCCAAAAGAAACTAGCGAAGGGGCAGGTGAGCCGTAGCCCCCACCGCACGCAACCAGGAGGCGCCCGGCGGGCGACTGCACCGGTCCGCGGTGGCCAGAGAAACTAGTCCAGTGCCGAGCTGCAAGCCCCCCTGAGCCCCGCTACTTACGCTGGGGAACAAGAGGGTTCGCCACGGCTGGAGATGGGCAGGGCTGGCTCCCGGCAGGCCGCGGCCCCTCAGCGTCCGGGGGCCCGGAGCCCTTCCTCACCGTGCTTAAAATGTCAGAGAACTTGGTGGCTGGGATGGGACAGACGAGAGAAGGATGAGACAGGTGGAATGGAAGCGTGATGGAGAGGAGGAGCGTGGGAAAGAGCCGGGAGCTGCGGCGGGGCCTTCCGCTAGCCAGCATACCCTGCGCTCTGCCTATGACCCTGGGGAATGGGATTGCTCTGTGGTTTAGCATCAGGGCTGAGAGCCAAGAACGCCTGGCTTCGAACCCCAGCCCTGCAACTGACTCGCTGCGTGGCTTGGGCCAGGCGCAGGGCGGCACTTTGCCATTCTGGGGCTGGTCATGATTAGCCGACCAGCTCCTTTGCTCCGTGTCTGTACAGCGCCTGGCACGGTGGGGTCCTGGGCCGTGCCTGGCGCACGTAGACGTGCCGGTAGTATAAATAGTAATAGTGACCTCTCGTGCACAATGGAACACTCTGCGTAAGTCTGGAGGCTGGTACTGGGCCGATCAATAGGAGGGAGCGATCCTGGCAAATCCAGCTTATAACGCTGCTGTTTGGAGGGGTGCAAGGCCCTGGAGGGAGGTGGCAGCTCTGCTCCCCTGGGGTTTAGGGGAGAGTTCACGCAGCATCCTAGGGAAAATGCCAGCTGAGTTCAGTCAAGTGCTGTAGGAACGGGCCAAGGGCAGAGACGAAAGGGAAGAGGTCACGCGGGGGAAGCATGGCCAGGGCTTTAGCGCGAGTCTCGCAATGGCTGCTCTCTCTCTTGAAGCCCCAGCTCCTGGAGGCAGATGATTACCAAGCAGAGGCTCAGCTTTCCCACCACAAGCAGCACCTTCCTCGCGGTGGTGGTTGTGGAGAAAAGCTTGGCATGTAACCCAAGCCAAGTAACCTAAAGGCTCAGAAACCAGGCGGCAAAGAAACGGAACCCAACCTTCATTGGGTCTTTTTTTTTAAATCTCAGTCAGGTTTGATGAGGCCGAGCTCCGGATTCTGAGGGCCTGGCTCGTTCTGTTTCATTGTCTCACGCCAGCAGCACTGTAACGTGAGTGTCTCCGGGAGCCGGGCCTTCCAGGAAAACTGCATCCATTGCAAGATTGGCTCTCAAACCACGAGAGGTGGCAGATCCTTCTCTCTAGCTTGGCTCCTGGACACCGGGACCTCCTACCCAGGCCCCAGGGGACAGGCATCTGCATGGCTGCCACAGAGGCCCCAGTCACACTCGCTACTTACGCTGGGGAGGCGGAGGGTTTGTGACAGCTGGAGATGGGCAGGGCTGGCTGGTGGCAGGTTGCAGCCCTTCGGCGTCCGGGGGCCCGGAGCCCCTGCTCACCGTGAATAAAATGTCAGAGAACCTGGCAGCTGGGACAGGACAGACAAAAGAATGGAGAGAAGGATGAATGGAATGGAAAAATGGAATGGAAAAGCAGCAAGACAGGAGGAAAGCAGGGGAGGAGCAGGTGTGGGAAGAGCAGGTGTGGGAGGAGCAGGTGTGGGAGGAGGTCTGTATTGATTTCCAATAGCAGGGCTTCCCCGGAGCTGTCAGGGACAGCGAGCGAGGCCATGGACTTCACGGTGCTAATTTCACTCTAAGGACCCTGGTTATTAACAACAAAACCAACGTGCCGTGGCAAAGCCCCTCGGTGCCACAAGGGGGTGACAGGCTCTGCGGAGCTAGCCCAGGTCGTCTCCTTGCGGCAGGAGGCAGGAGAAGGCTGGATTTGTCCTCCAGAACCCACCCCTGCATCCCAGTGTGGGTTAGGGGTGGGGGGCAGGTGATGGTTGGAAAGGAAAGGAACCCGAACACGCTAAATGCAGACCATGCTCCAGTGCTGCCCAGCTGAGCTGGCACAAAGGGAAATCCTGCCCTGGTGCAGGCAGCCCCTATGCCCAGGCACAGGGCTCGGTACCAGCTGCCGGCAGAGTGGAGACTGGAAGGGACGTGGCAGGAGCAGACGAGCGGTGCAGCGATTTTGCACCGTTTGCAGAGGCCCAGAGGCCGGGGTGGGATTTAGGGCAGCCGAAGCTTGCTCCGGGGTGAAGTGGAGGGGACATATCTGCCCCTGCAGTTGCTGAACAGAGGGGAGATGCGGGGCAGAGTGGCTGGGTTACTCCCTGCCCTCTAAGTGCCATGTCCTCGGCATGGCTAGCCATTATAATCCCCTCCCTAACCTGGATTCTGAGTGAGGCCTGCCCTGCATCCGCCTGCACGACAGCTCTCCTGCCTGAGCCTTGGCAATATTCTGCTTCCCAGCTGCGTCCCCGGCGGGCACTGACTGTGGGCACCTGCTGGATGCCCCACACGAGATGGCAAAGCCCCACGAGCTTCCCCCGGGGCCAAGGCAGGGTGGTTCCCCACAGGACATTTTCTAGAGCTCCGGCCACGAGACCACATGGAATGGGAGAGCGGCTGGACGGGCTCTGTGGGACCCGGCCCTGCACCCCAACACACCCTGGACGAGCAGCCCGGGTGACTTCCACAGGGCTCTTGGCTGGGGGTGTGTGACGGAGCAGGGGATGGGGATGGGGAATTGCCCTTGCAGGAAAATCCCTGAGCTGTAACCTGAGCCAGGAGGGGGGTTGGGAGAAGTGACATCTTCTGGCTGGAGACTGGACAAAGGAGAGGTGGAGCTGGGGGGAGGAGAGAGAGCGGCTGGAGGAGTTTTTAGTAGGGTTACCATATGTCCGGTTTTTCCCGGACATATCCGGCTTTTTGGTAATTAAATCCCCGTCCGGGGGGAATTGCCAAAAAGCCGAACATGTCTGGGAAAAATACCGGCCGGGCACTTCCCCTCCCAGGCTCCAGCTGCTCTGCTCCTCCCCTGACTCTTCGGCTCTGTTTAAGAGCCGAGCTGCCCGAAGCCCAAGCGCTACCGGCTTCACGGTTTGCCGGGCAGCCTCCAGACCCTGCGCCCCCGGCTGGGAGCTTTCCCTCCCGGGCTCCAGCTGTGCTGGGGAAGCGCCGGCCGGGGGCGCAGAGTCTGGGGGCTGCCCGGCAAACCGTGAAGCCGTTAGCGCTCGGGCAGCCCTTTTCGCGTGGCTGGGAGGGAGGAGGGGGAGTTAGGGCGGGGACTTTGGGGAAGGGGCGGGGAATGGGTGGAGTTGGGGTGGGGAAGGGGCGGAGTTGGGGCGGGGCGGAGTGGGAAAGGGGCGGGGCCAGGGCCCCGTGGAGTGTCCTCTTTTTTTATTTTTTAAATATGGTAACCCTAGTTTTTAGTTTCAGTTTGGTGCTGGGTGGTGGAACGCAGGGAACCCCAAGTCTCTGGGGTCTAAGCTCCCTGCCCCCCCAAAGAAGGACTTGACTGAGGGGTCCTGGTTGTACCTACAAGCTCTGTTGTAGACTGCGTTCCTATTGTCCAATAAACCTTCCATTTTACTGGCTGGCTGAGAGTCACGGTGAATCCCAGGAAGAGGGGTGTAGGGCCCTGACTCCCCCACTCTCCGTGACAGGGGGTGAGGGAACGGACACAGCAGGAGAGGGCGAGCTCCCAGGGACAGGAGGAACACTGGCTTTAACACCGAAGGCTGGGGAGAGATGACACAGTGGAGCCCTGAGGGGGCGTGAATACAGAGAGAGACCGGATGGCACACTGAGGCCCCAGGCTGGGAGCCAGGACTCCTGGGTTCTATGCCCGGCTCTGCTCCTGACCCCCTAGGTGCCCCGTGGCACCGCCCGTAACGATTGATCGTGGTAACGCCCGCTCTCTGACATGGGGCTGGTGCCCCGGAGCCCTGCCAGAGGCTGCGGGGAACACTGGCTGGGAGCCCGCAGCCCAGGTACCAAGGGCACAGGAGCTGCAGAACGGCAGAGAAAATCGGGTTGAAAACCAAGTCCCAAAACCCTGCAGGAAAAGGGAACGTCGGCTTGGATCCCTGGGGGGAGTCCCAGCTCAGGCCAGCCCACCGCTGGCCAGGCACAGGTGAGGAGCCCAATTGCAGCCACACTGGCCTGCAGCGAGAGCTAGCCCAGGGCATGCAGAGGGACTCCGGCCTGGCCCAGCCTGGCCCGCCCCCTGGGCCACACAAATAGCACACCCCGTCCCAGAACCTCCTACCCCTGGCACACACAGAGCAACCCCGTCCCAGAACCTCCTACCCCTGGCACACGCAGAGCGAGCCCCCGCCCAGACCCCCCCAGCACATGCAGAGCGAGCTCCATCCCAGGACACCCCCAGCACACGCAGAGTGAGCCCCATCCCAGACCTCTGCCCCAGCACACGCAGAGCGAGCCCCATCCCAGATCCCCCCCAGCACACGCAGAGCGAGGCCCATCCCAGACCTCTGCCCCAGCACACGCAGAGTTAGCCCCATCCCAGATCCCCCCCAGCACACGCAGAGCGAGCCCC